GCTGCTGTTGCCGTTAGTCATCCTCCCTCCTGTTCGCCATTTTGAATACACCTCTTATTCTGTTTTCATTGTTGCAGGGTACAGATCCTGGTGTATGGCTAACAAAAACTTCTGCTGGTTTGTCTATAGCAGCAGCAAGGCAAAGCTCCGCACAAGGTGATTGTGCAGCAGCAACAAAGCAATGGAAGGGAGCATTAAAGACAATAGGAGATTCTTTACCACCTGCCTATACACCCGGGCAGGATATATACAAAAGTCTGGATGTTGTATCGTTAATGAGTCTTTATACACCTAAAGACGGAGTAGCAGTTGCATGCACTGTCATACAATGCCCACCCAAAAGTTCAACAGGAGGAACCACTGGCAGTGGTGGCGACAACACCGGCAGCGGATCCCCGCAAACACCCCCCAGCACCCCTCCCAACCCAACCGACGATCCCGAAGAAGAGGAAGACGAGGAAGTTGTGCCTGGTGGTGGTGAAGGCGGTGCTGGTGGTGGTGGCAAAACCAAAGAGAGCAAAGAGTTGAAGCAAGCAAGTGCTGAGGAGAATCCACCACCAGTAACAGCATCAGCAGTAACAGCAGGAGCAGGAGGAGCACCACCAGCAGCTGCAGCAACAACAACAACAGCAGCAGCAGAAGGAGGAGTTAGGGGAGGCATGACAGTCCGTCGATTAGATGATAGTGCAGGAGGAGAAGAGTCTTTTAATGCTCTTGTTTGTCTATTCAAACCTGAAACACTCACTGAAGGAGCTGCCCCTTTCCAGTAAATTATACACTTGCTGCTGCTGTTGTTGCTTGCCGCTGCTGTTGTTGCATGCTGTTGTTGTTGCTTGCTTTTGTTGTTGCTGCTTGCTTTTGTTGTTGCTGCTTGCTACAGCTGTTCCTGTAATGTCTGGTTCGGCTGTACATGATGTTGCGGCTGCTGTGCTCGGTTTGTTGCTAATATTGCTGCTTGCATGCAACAGCACAACAGCAGTATTGCTGCTATACAGAGTATCGCTGCTTAATTGGCTTCGGTTTGTTTTCTTTTTGTTTGTAGGGAAAGTGAATGGAAGAAAGTTCTAGAGAACGGCGCTTCTTTCTGTTTTTCCTCTTCCTTCCTTCTTGCTGCTTTTGTAGTCCTTGGTCTGCTGCTGCAATAATGCGCCATCATATGGCCGTTGCTGCAGACGCTGGAGCAGCTGCAGAAGCTGCAGCAGTTGCTGGCGTGGCAGCAGTAGGTGTCTAAAGTCGAGCCACCTACCAAATTTCTAGTGACAGCAATTGTAACCTGTTCTTTTCTCTCTTGTTACTTTTCTCTAATGTAAAGCAAAAGATATATTATTGTTTACTGTTCTGTATTTGCCTTGCACTTTCCCTCTTATTTCTGCTTTCATAATGTTTTGTTTATTTCCTTCCTAGTCCGGCTTAGTAGCCCTTTACAATTGTTAAAGTTTCCTTTTAATTAGCATGGGTATTTACATCCACATATATATATGTATATATATTACATATATTAAACCAAATCATTAGCAAAGTATGATATGTATGTAATATACTCATTAAAAGACATTTACTATTTTTCACTAACATTTTCTTCTTTATTTTTGCCACGGCATTTAACGGGAAATAGATGACTTCATACGGATGAAAAAAGCAGGAAAAGAATACACTGCATGCATTGCCTCCGTCCAGTTTGCAATAAGAGGTTCTAGTATCAGATTTGGCAAGTAAGGGGAAATTGAAAATAATAATATTTACAATAGTTAAATTTGAGTTAAGAATTAACTTTTGTTGATGTGAAGGCGAAATAAGTATGAGAGAAGAAGGAAAAGATCAAAACATTTGAACTTGAAACGGCGGCACCGCATCGGGCGTTCGGAAGGAGGGCAAAAAATCACAAGAAATTGTAAAAGCTTTTAACCTTTTCTTAATTGAGTTTGATTTGTAAAATTAATTGAAATTATTTGAGTTTGAGAAACCTGAAGAACAACTTCTATTTAAGAAAGCCCGGGAAGCCCGCTGTTGTTCCTTCGCCTTGAGTGTGTTGAAGAACATCAAAGAAACGGGGTGGTTTGTGAAACTTTAGTATCAAATGAAAGTTAAAAAGAGTTCATTAAAATATTCGCTTCTAATTGAACATTTGTGCATTAGAACGGTCAAAAAAAACAACAATGGCGAGTCATTTATTAGCAGAAACAGTAGATCGACCGCCACTCATACAGTCCAATTTTCACCTCGGTCTCTTCAGCATTCTCGCCGTAGCAATTCATCGTTTTTCTTCGTCATTTGACTTGTGGCACTTAATGACCCATTTGTTTTTGCGTGTTTTTCTTTAGTTTTACTATTCTTAGAAGGCAGTTTCCTTCATTTACCCTTGGGCTCTCTTTGAACCAGCATAATAATGAGGCGTTTCTGTTTCGCAGTACTTGCAGGCACGGCTGCAGCCGTGCCGGCGCTCCTCACAGAGGCACAAGCCGGCACCAACAAAACATTTTGTAAGTCTTTCTTACTTATGGTCTTCTTCTGAAAGGGTTCTAGTGTGGCGAGAAGATGAGGACAAATAGACATTCCTTATGGTCCCTTCTGCTTGTCCGCAGCGGCCGTCGACTGCTCGGAGCAGATGAACAAGGAGAGGGAACCTATGGGATTTCCTAAGTTCACTGTTTTAGATACATCAACACCAATTACTGGAGAGGATAAGGTCAATACCACTAACCTCTGTGCGAATATAAAAGAGGTAAGGTTGTCGTTGTATAATCCCCCGCCACAGCACACACACCACAAACCCATGGCGGTATGGTGTGTAGTATGGAGAGGAAAAAAGAATGCAGCATCCTCTTCCTGTAGCTTTCTCTCGTGTAATGTAGTATGGGCGTTTCTTCTGGTGTCATTTTTTGTTCTTTTCCGCTGCCTTTTGTAGCGTGCTGTTAGGCTTTCTTGTTGTTTCCTGCTGCTGTTTTGTTCAATAGTGTGTTTATGTGTTATGAGGTGTTGCTGTTTGCCTTTGATTTCTTTTTCAACATCCAATTGTGTCTTTCTACATATTCATATTCCTTTCGTCTCTTCAGCTACAGGAAGACAGCAGCAGCGACACCAGCAGCAGCAGCAGCTGCTGTTGCCGTTAGTCATCCTCCCTCCTGTTCGCCATTTTGAATACACCTCTTATTCTGTTTTCATTGTTGCAGGGTACAGATCCTGGTGCATGGCTAACAAAAACTTCTGCTGGTTTGTCTATAGCAGCAGCAAGGCAAAGCTCCGCACAAGGTGATTGTGCAGCAGCAACAAAGCAATGGAAGGGAGCATTAAAGACAATAGGAGATTCTTTACCACCTGCCTATACACCCGGGCAGGATATATACAAAAGTCTGGATGTTGTATCGTTAATGAGTCTTTATACACCTAAAGATGGAGTAGCAGTTGCATGCACTGTCATACAATGCCCACCCAAAAGTTCAACAGGAGGAGCCAGTGACAGTGGTGGCAGCAACACCGACAGTGAAGGCGGGAAACCGCCCACCACCACGCCAACCCCACCCAATGAAGACGGCGAAGAGGAAGAGAAAGGCGAGCAAGCTGTGCCTAGTGCAGGTGTTGGTGATGTTGATGGTGCTGGTGGTGGCGATGGTGAAGGCACTCCGTTGCTCCCGTTTGTCAACC